CCGCCCGCCACCTCCTGGTTTGCGTTCCGGCCGGTCGGACCTGCTGGGCAACCCTTCCGGCCCGCCCCGCTTAATCAGCGCTGGCCGCACCCACCGCGCCGCCCCAACCCCTGCACTAGGCTGCACGTACCCCCTGCTCTCGGGGCCCACTTCTGCCTCATCGGCCCATTCTACAGAGGGAAGCCAAGAGGGTGGGGGGAGTGGCGGTCATGGCTCAGAAGCGAGCTGGGGGCTGTGCGCGTTAATGTGGTTGTCATCACCCCGTGGACACCGGAATGGGGAAGTCCCCTGGGAGAAGGTGGAGCACCCCTTGCCTTTTAGAGGATGGGGGGCCAGCGCTGGGTGCTGGACCAGTGCTTGGGGACCCTGCGTGTGACCTGACTTGCCCTCCCTGACCAGCCTGGGAGGCCTCTTGCTGAGCCTGGTGCTTACTGCTCCATCCTGGTGGTGATGGCCTTGAGGCCAGGGGCTGGCCTGACAGTGAGAGCCAGCATGCAGGTGTCCACCCTGGCCTCTGCACAACTGTACGGGTGCTGACTGTGGGTCCCCTGCCGGGCTAGCTGGGGGCCTCTACGCCAGGGGGAACCTGGGAAGCCCCTTGGGCTCTGACCACACCAGAGTCAGGCAGGCTGGTCCCTCCCTGTCTGAAGTGGGACATCGCCTAGCCAGCACAGGGAGGGGAGACCTAGAAGGCAGAGGCCAAATAGGGACAGGTCGCTAGGCCCGCAGGCTGCAGCCTCCCAGGCTGCCACTGGAAGGTTCATGTCCTTGGAGACGGCCTATTAGTAAGGCCGGCCGGCCCTTAGCCACACGGTAAATGGTCCAACTCGTGTGTGTGACCCCGGCAATCCCTAGGTCTTTATCCTCTATGCCAGAGGGTGCAAAGACAGGCTGTGTGGCGTGATGTTAAGGAGGAGCTGTTCCTAGGGTTCAGCAGTGTGGCCCCCAAGTGTGCAGAGGCGGCCCTGCGAGAGCAGGGAAAGGGTTTTACTATTTGTTTTGCTTGTGGCTGTGTGGTTGGATTCTACAGTGAACATTTCCTCATGCCCTGCTTTTGTTACAAAGAAAGAAGCCCTTCATCATCACCACTCTGCTTCCACTCCGCCAGCAGTGTTCTGACCACAGAGGCTGCCTCCCGGGATTGCCCTGGAGAGCACATGTGGTCAGTGCGGGGCCATTGTCACACCTCACGTGCACGCCGGGGCTGCCCCAGTATCAGCAGGCCACCGGGGCCTCTGGGATCACACTGGGAACAGGGTCGTTTACGTGTCTCTGCTTTGAGCGGTGCAGACGAAGAATATTCTTGCAACAACACTGAGTTAGTGATTATCGCCCCATTTCACAGATGAGAAAATTGATGCCCAGAAAAAGGGTTTTCAAGCACCACACAGCATATGTCCATGGTAGAGCTGAGGCCTGGCTCACAGAAGGCTGCTCCTGGCTTCTGAGTGTGGAGGGGGACAGGGCGAGGGGGAGGAAGGAGGGAACTGGAGCTTCCAGGGAGTAGACTTGCTCTCTGGGGCCTCTGAGGAGGGAGAATAGTCCCACCAGCTTCTCCCCAGTTTCCTGCAGCCTGAAGTTCTTGCCACTTCCCTTCTTTACAGCCGAATGGCCAAAGTCCATTAGTCTCAGCCAGCAGTCGCCCCGCCTGCATATGCTGGCTCAAGGCTCTGGGAAGAAGCCGCCAGTTCTTGTGCCTTGTCTGCCCCTGCTCGGGACACCCTGGCAGCTCACTGCTCTGCCCTGGCCTCAGTGTCCCCCTCTGCCAAATGGGGATAATGACGGCTTCCCTGCTTCCCAGATTTTGAATGGGAACAGCCTGAGAGATAAGACAGTGGACTGGACGCCAGACAGCACCTTGGAACGTGAACAACCAGGCGTGGCCGGTGTGTGTGGGCTGGAGGTTGCGTCTTCCAGGCAGGCTGTCCGGCTGAGTTAGGGAGGGGCACTCAGGACCCTCTCCTGAACAGTTCCTCACCTTCAAAAAGCTTTTCAGTTCCTCCCCATAAATAAAAGAATCGCACACAAACCCTCCCCTATTCTATTTTATGTGTGTCTGTGCTTGTCCAGAAAATGAAGTCAGTGATCTACGTGCCTGAGAAAAAGAGGTGGGTGAAGGGAATTTCAGCAAGTTCCAGATGGTGCCAACAGACCACTTGTTCTTCTTTGTGTGTTTATCTTTTACATTTCTAAAGAAGAAAATAACGCATTGTAGAAAACTTGGTGTGGGGGGGAAGAGGGGTACATAAAAAAGTCAGAAATACTCATCCGGCTCCCGACCCCCCACAACCACCATTCACATTTCCCCCCCTCTGTGTATATATCATTTTTTCCTTCTCTTCTGAGACTCCTGCCATCTGGTCTTCTCCTGATACCCCTTCTCATCACTTTTCTCTGACACCTCCTATCTGTCACCCCTTCTGCCATCAAGGACTTGGGTTTCCAGTCTCAGGGAGGGCTCTGTCCTTGTTCCTGCTCATTAGGGGAACAGCCCTCCAGTCCTTGACCTCCCTGGTAACCTTTGTCATGATCGCAGCCACCCTCTCTGGAGGCCACGCTGAATGGACCCGCTGACATTCGACCTCAAGCATCCCAGACAGGCCTCTTCTGGGCGCTGAACTCAGTGCCCTAACCCCAGATTTCACAGAGGTAGCTGGCCCATTCCCTGGCTTCCTCTCTATCATGCAGACACCATGAAAGCTGGCTTGTGAGTGACAGAGAAGTGTGGGGGCTGGGGTCAGGGGACAGTGGGGATGAGAGAAGAGGGGAGACATAAGACAGGTGATTCATATGTTTACTAAAATTGGCAAAGTTCAATTTGAAATCCATTCACCTCCTTAAGTCTTCTCTCAACCACTCTTCATCTTCACGTGGCTCCCACTCCATGCCTCGCCCTCCCTCTCTAAGACCTTCCTGTCAGCCAACGAGCACACCCGCATCTCCTCTATCCTACAAACAGAATCCTCCTTAATTCCCTTGGAGCCTCTGTAATTGTTTTACTTCTTCCCTCCCCCCTCCAGACTTCTGGAATGAATTATCTCTATTTGCTGCTTCCATCTTCCCTACTCTCATCTTTTCCTCAATCCATCGCCCTCTGTTGGGAGAGCGCTGGTCTAGGGCACCAGTGACCTCTCATGCCACTGAATCCAGGGGAAGATTTTCAGCTCACAGCTTTTTACTCTGCCCCCTGCTCTCCTCCGGCACAGTGCTTTCTGGCTTTTCTCCTTCTTCTCTGCTTGTTCCTTTCCTTCTCTGTGGCCTTTCGGTCAGCAGCTCACCTTTTATAGATATCTATCTTTGTTTCTTCCTTTGCGTTTTCCATTGGTTGGTTCATGTAGTCTCATGGCTCCCTTTTTTTTTTTTAAAGATTTATTTATTCATACAGAACTGGGGTACAGGCCAGAGATGCGGAGGGTGAGAGGATTCACCAGAGACAGAGTGGGGAGCAGAACAGGCAGATTAATGAAGTACACTGCTGAGGGGAGCAGCGGGCGGGTCAGGAGAGGTCTGCCTCGCCATGTGGATCTCCTCCAGGGCAGGCGGGAATCGAACTCATGCGGAAGTGGCTTAAGTTTCTTAGTGCTGTGCTTTAGCCCGCTGCGCCACCAGGGAGGGCCCATGGCTCCCTTTTTATGGGATGATTCTCAAATCACTTTGCCAAGCCAGCCAAGCATCAGCTCGAATATTCAGCTGGCTTTCCTCTCTACCTGGAGGTCTCAGTCACTTTAAGTTCAGCAGGTACCAATGGCTGTGCCATGGCTGTCCCCAAACTGCTTCTTGCATATTTCCTATCTCAGTTGGGGGCCCAAATGCTGGGAGTCATCTCTTGCTCTTCCCTTGCTACCTGAAGTCAATAATCAAGTCCTGCCAATTGACATAAGTGTTTCTGTAACAAGTGCTTTCTCTTTGTGCCTGCCACTATCGCCTTTGTTCACATAGTATCTCATCTGTCAACCATTTCCCCATACTACTGGGCAATCTTCCTACAATAATATCAGACCCTGCCACTTGTCTGCTTAAAATTAGTCAAATAAAAGAAATTAAGGAAGTCATCAATAAGTGGAAAAATATCCTAGGTTCATGGATTGGAAAACTTAACATTGGTAGGATGGCCATTCTTCCCAAATTGATCTATAGCTTCATTGCTATCCTTATCAAAATCCAGGCTGCCTGTTTTATTTTTTTATAGAAGTTTACAAGTTGATTTTAAAATTCATATGAAAGTGCAAAGAACCTAGAATAGTTAAGACAGTCATGAAAAAGAAAAAGTGGCGTTTTTATTTTAAAAAAATGTAAAAAGATAAAAAAAGTATAAAGAAACATGTCCCAGTTTCAAATTTTACCACAAAGCTATAGTAATTATGACAGCAAGGTACTGGCATAAGGATAGACATACAGATCAACAGACTAGATCTATAAAGTCCAAAAATAAAGAAACCAGAAATGACAGTACATATATGGTAAAATTATTTTTGACAGGGGTACCAAGATGATTCAAAAGAAAAAGAATAATCTTTTCAACAAATGTAGCTGGGAACATTGAATATCCACATGCTACAGGATGAAATTGGATTCTACTCACACCACAGACAAAGTTAATTCAAAATGGATCGAAGACCTAAATCTAAGAGTTAAAACTAGAACCTCTTGGCAGAAAGCATAAGGTGGAACTTTTGGGATCTTGGATTAAGCGATGCTGTTAGACCTCACGCCAAACACATAAGCAATCAAAGGAAAAATAAATACACTTGGCTTTATCAAAATTAAAAATGTTTGTGCTTCAAAGGTCATTATCAAGAGAGTGAAAATAGAACACTCTAAGAGAAAATATGTGC